TGGTTTCCTTAGAAAACAATTTCTCTATAAATATAACCTGCCTTTCTTTCTGTGATGATTCACCTGAGAAAACCATTATTTTGCCTGAGAAAACCATTATTTAAATAGGGGGCGGGGGATGCATGTTGGATCTGTGATGCATATGGATGGATTTACTAGAGACAGGTTAACAACACCTCCATGACACTGGTCTCATCTCCTCCTAAATCTTCATTCACAATGCAGTGAAAAACTGATTATACTGAGTTCAAAACTCATACACCAGTATCATCACAGTTGTGTGTAATTGAGATTGCTGAGAAACAAACTTTGATCTTCTTGCACTTTTCAGATGCAGGGATGTTTGCAGTGCCATAATTAGATGTTTATGTAGTACTTCAGCACATTCTGATTATGTGTGTGAGAAAAGTCATGCATTAACACTCATCATGCTCCTTTTTTCACTTAACTGCTTTGTTTGACTATCATGCATTTCAGGTAAAGCAACCACTGAATTATGCATTATGTAATCAGTGAGGTTGGATCATACTTGTCCTTCATTGATTTAGGTTTCTGGTACAGCTGGATCAAAGGAGAACGTTTTTCATTTGTTTGAACAAAGAAGCTGTACGATTCTGTTTCCTGCACTCTCCTTCAACATAAGCTACAGCAAAGCTTTGATCGGTCCAGTTCTGCATGAAAATGAGTGTCAGTTTGTATGAATATGCTGAAACAGCATTTTTTTAACTCAATATGTTACAATGCCGGTTGTATGCATGCAAAAAATAATTATTGCAAAATTAAATAAAATTATTTTTTTTACATTTTTTGGGCTGTATTTTCTATTTTTAGTAAATACAAAAGTTCAAATTGTCAAAAATAAATGTAATAAAATAAGTTAACACAATAATTTAAGTTTAATCACCATGTTAAACATCTACAAAATCATTAACATAAAAACACTACTGGCTAAAAGTTTGATTAAGTTTAATTAGAATATTGGAATTATTTCCAAAAGATCATGTGACACCGAAGACAGGAGAAATATCTGCTGAGAAAATAGCTTTGCCAAATAAATTGTTAAATAATTGTAATTATTTTATACACCAATATTTTCTTTCGATCTGCATATTGCACAAGTGCAGTGAAGCACTTCAGATGGTTCATTCCAATTTAATCTATAGACCTACAATATGGTACAAGCAAGGTGTGATAGACCGTCTGTATATTTATATGGAAAAAAAAGCACTTAGTGAACATTTTGCAACCACGGACACACCCTATTGCTGCAGTTTTCCATCACATAACAGTTATGAGCGTCAGGAGGCAGAGCAGAGGGCTGAAAGGGAAATTCTCCCCTGGTTACACACACCCACGGTCCAGATCCCTCCACCCAAACAGACCTTGTTTTGTCTCATGCTCCAGCTCACGCTAATGCAGAAGGAGAAGGCGAGGAGAGGAAATATAACAAACCCCATTCAAAACAGTGATTCAGCCATAGACTGATGAGAGAAAACTGAAGCACGCTGTGCTGCAGGCTGAATACGGCACTTTTGGTACCAGAATCCATGGGGCTTTTGAACAAAACATGCTTTTAACAAGAAAATAAATAAATAAATAAACAGCATTTCTTTAGCCTACTATTTTCCCAATTGTAGCCCAAGTTTGGCAGATGTCTGGATGAGCCAATACAGTCCTGCTCCTGCTGAGGCTGATATGCCTCCTTCTGATGTCAGTTCCTCTATAAGAACAGTTATTTTCCCGGTATGATCTAAACTTACATTGTGGGTGATGTGAAGATTTTCGAGTGACCGGCTCACTGCAGTGACAATGACGTTAAAATGCTGCAATATGCGGTATAATTTTCCTAATTTCCCATCATTTTTAGCTGTAGAGCCGATCAAATCTGATGTGTGAGTGAAATATTTCAAACGCTTTTTTATTTCAACAAACTTTACTTCTGTGAAAATATGTGACACTTGGTTTGGTGTCTGTGTCAGGAATTATAATACAACTACAGTACACATCCAGATGGAAGACATTATAGCTTAATATCTGTTATAAAACGTCTTTTTATACATGATATTTGAATTATATCATAATTGTCAGCTATTATGATGGGGAAAAATCCTGAATATCCATTCAAAACTTTAAAAAAAATTATCATACAGTACAAAGTCTTTTGGTGCAAAACACTGTAATAACATTAAATTAAAAATAAAAAAACAGGTTCTGTGAAGATTATAATGCAATATACCTTCACTTAAATGTATGAAATACACCCTTTGAGTTAGGAATGGCACTGTGATGTCAGTCATGCTACAAATTTTGGTCTGCTTTTGGATTTCTTTCATATACATTGTGCATATATTCTAAATCAAAAGAAGTATAGCATAGTCTATTTGAAACCTGACTTTTGTATAATGTTACAAAATACAGTTACACAGCGTATAATCTACAGCATAGAGTGGCTTTCCTGATATGAAGAACTATTCCAACCTGGTTTGATCCCATTCTCATACATTTTGTATTTTATTGTAAAATTTTTTTGTAAAGTGATTGTTAATACACAGCTACTCTCCTTTTCAATTACCTTTTCTGTCTGCCCGCTGCTCCCACTGGCCGGATCTTAATTTCTGCAAAGTCGAGAGACTGGAGATGCCCCTTCCATGGCTCCCAGTTTACTCCCTGAAAGACACGATCAGGAAAGTATTAAGTTTATTTTACTAACATTCAGCTACTCATTCATTATATCATTGGGCAGCATCTCTGATGAAAGAGATTTCATCTAATATTGAGTGGTAATTTTTGCCCATGTTTTAGTTTTTCAGAAATGCTACAAAAAGTTCAAACGTTTTGGGGTTTTTGATAACATTTTTGAAAGAAGTCTCTTGTGCTCACCAAGGCTGCATTTATTTGATTCAAAATAACAGTAAAAACAATCATATTTTGAAATATTATTTCAAATTAAAATAACTGTTCTTTATTTTAATATATTTTAAAATGTTTTTAATTTATTACTCTGTTGGCAAAGCTGATTTTTCAACAGCCATTATTGTAGTCTTCAGTGTCACATGATCCTTCAGAAATCATTCTAATATGCTGATTTGGTGCTCAAGAAACATTTC